ATATATATATAATATATATATATATATAGATTAGCTTACAAAAAAACAACGTTATTGATTGTGACAAGCCAATAACTCGAAAAATATAGAAAATAGAAGAAGAAAACATTTCAGACGAAAGTGGAATAGTTTTGAGGAGAATTTTTTTTGTTACTTTGTTTTTTCTAGGTGGAGAAACCAAAAAGATACGGAGGTCATCTCCACTTTTTTAAGTTAAATTATATGATTTTTTACATAATATTGTATGATTCTTCTAATTATTCTGCATATACAAGTATTAAGATACAGATATTTAAAAAATCAGTAATTTAAGAGATATTTTATACTTTATTCTGATATATATGTATATTGAATGAAATATTAAATATCTCGTTAATTATTAATTTGTTGATAATCATACTTTAGTACTCTTATAAACGAAACCATCCTGTATATCACGTTACGTAGACCATACATGTTTTAACCATCCTGCACATCATATTACTGAGAGAAAAATGTCGAACTATATTGCGAAGCAAATGTTACTTATGACATACGTTTCCTTCGATATTTATTAGTTATGAAAAAATTTGACTACGATAACAAAATATACATTTCTGTAAAATACATATATCTCACTAATTATAAAAAGGTAAAATAGATAACTTATATTGTGCCAGTAGACGACTAAAATTGTGTTAAGAACATAATTTTGCTGTATTTAAATGTTTATTTCAGTGAAAATATATAATAATAAATATATAATATTTCTCACAAATTTTAAGTATCTTTTTCTTAGTGTATAGATAAATAATGCACGATAGAGATTATTATGCAGGAAAAAGAAAAATTTTATTAATTTTGATGTTTTATGCATATTATAGGTATCCTATCATAAATGCTGTTGTTTACGATCGGATATATAAAACATCGAAATTAATAAAATTTTTGTTAAATTAAGTTTAAGAGAAGAAGACATTTATATTCCGAACACAAAATAACATGTTACAATATCATCAAAATGGTATTAAAATGAATTGTGACTAATCGAAAAGTGACTTTTAATAATCATTTTAGAACCATTTTGATGTTATTTTGATGTCATTTTGATGTCATTATAACATTTTATTCTGCTTACATTAAAGCGTGTATTTTAAATCTACTTGCAATTTAGATTTATCAAGTTTCGTAAAATAAGAATTTGCAATTCTAAAATACTGAGATAAATTCCTGATCTAAACTTGCAGTAACTTAATGATGATAATCATGATCGTCGTAATAAAAAAAAAAGCAGTTTTCTGCGCACTTTATGTGTTGCAATGATTTAACGAAAAAAAGAAAGTCTAAAAAACAGTTTCGCTTAGTGCACAAATGTACTGGTATGTCCTGTTTATTAATTTTTCCTCATACTTTCGGTGTAAAGTTGCACAATGTTGAATAAATTATAATAATGTAATTAATATATGTGCAGCATATAGAACCGTGTTGTAACATAATACGAAGAAAAAAATCACAAAAATGTATGCTGTTAAACGCTCTCCATGCAAAACATGGAGAATTTTCGGATTAACATTCTCTTTTTTTCTTTCCAAATTTATTTTATTTGTTTACATTGTTAGATATTTAGATCAGTCCTCTCTTACGGAAACGTATTATTGGGATCACAAAAATCAATTAAAAATAATTTTAAAACTATTTAAATCGAATATTGATACTACTATTGTATACTACTATTGATCGTTCCAATAGTTTTCCATTAATCCAATAGTATTTTTCCGCAAGGATTGTGGTTGCATAAAAAACAATTATCAATATTCATATATTAAGTTCAAAAGTTTCCTTTATAAGCTAAAAAAGCTACAAAATAACAAATCATTGAAACAATAATCATAAATCATTTTATAATAATTATAAGATATTTATGATAATAATTCATAAATTAGAATAATAATCATAAAATGAAAATTTATCGTATGTATTTACGTTCAAACGATAAAATATTTCCGTTTTCCCTATATACAGAAAAAAGTTTCTTAAGAGAATATTAATTTACGTTAGGAAAAACAAAATTAATAACATAAGCGAATTATTTCAGTGAAAATATATAATAATAAATATATAATATTTCTCACAAATTTTAAGTATCTTTTTCTCAGTGTATAGATAAATAATGCACGATAGAGATTATTATGCAGGAAAAAGAAAAATTTTATTAATTTTGATGTTTTATACATATTATAGGTATCCTATCATAAATGCTGTTGTTTACGATCGGATATATAAAACATCGAAATTAATAAAATTTTTGTTAAATTAAGTTTAAGAGAAGAAGACATTTATATTCCAAACACAAAATAACATGTTACAATATCATCAAAATGGTATTATACCATTGGTATATCGTTTCAAACTGCAGAAGAAATAAATTGATCTTTTAAAATTAATTATAATTAGATGCAAGATAAATAAGACGCTTTTGGCCTCCTGGATTAGGCAAATTTCACACTTGACGTTACACCATGCGGGATGCTACAAGCTCATGACAAAATGACAGTTGGACGTCATGCCGCAAGATGGCACTAGATTTGCGATGAGACCAGTCGTCGCGACCTACCGGCTGCCAAGGCTGCCACATTGCTCCCGCGCCCATGACATCTGTTCGTTTCGCCGTCATTCTGTCATTTCCGTCTACGTGATTATCTACCCAGCGCGATTATCAATTAAATAAAGAACAGCCACGCGAGATTTAAGCGCGAAGCGCTTTCGAACGAACAACGTCGTGTAATCTCGTATACCGGGAAAAGAGAGGAAAAAAGGGAGTAACTCGCCGGTAAAAGAAAGGAAGAAAGAAAGAAAGAAGCCGGTGTGCGGAAGTGCGCGTAGGTAGCGGAAGGGAGGAGGTAATACAAAGGGGAGAGCAGAAGAGAGGATGTAGATGGAGAGGACGGGAATTGCGCCGGTACCGAAGGGAGACGGAAGGGGCGCGGTGGTAGAGTAGAATTAGGTAGGCAGGACGCGGTCGGCGGTCGGGGAGGAAGGCGCGATCGACTACGTTCGCCTGGTTAGCGGGCGAGCGAGCGGCATAGGCGAGAGACTCGTCGGCGGCAGTGGACGGACGGCAGCGGACGGCGGCAGCGTCGGTGCTAAAAGGCGGGGACGGTCGTCGCTCGAGCGTGACCGCGTGTGTGAGCTTAGCAGCGGCGCCAATCCCTCTCTCCCTTTCTCTCTCTCCTCTTGTCTCTCTTCTCGTCTCCGTCGTCCCTCTTCTTCCGCTTCGCCTCCCCCTTTCGTGCATCCACCGCCGGGCGACGTTAGAAGAGGAGGAAGACCGTCGCGTGCCGCCCGCCTGACGGACTGAAGAAAACTTGCGACCGACGGCGAGCAGTCGTTACTCGAGTTTACCGAGCCGCGACGGCTACAGGCGACTATTAAAAGCGTATTATTTCTCGTCATTCACTTGCTTTGCCTCGTACGCGGCACACTTCATCACGAGGTCGCGGCCGCCGCGCGGGAAGGAACCCGATCGACCATCGGCATCAAGGGGAAGTAACGACGATCACGGAAGACTCGCCAAGGTTGTTGCTTCCGCGCTTATCGTACTCCAGCGCGGAAGGTGGTGCTTCGCGTGTCGTGTATGCGTTTATGTGCGCGGTTAGGTGACAGAGGGAGAGACATCGACGACGACGACGACGACGACGGCGACGAACGTGGGGTGCTGCCGTTATTGCTACTGCTACTGTTACTACGAGATTACATAGTCGCCGACGAGCTGCTGCCGGTTACGTGGTACCCGTCGGATAAAGAGTGCTCGGTGACGGCGACGGATACGAGTGGACAGGTACGAGAGGACCATCGCACCGGGAAGAAGAAAGGGACGTGTAATAGCAGGTGGGTGTAACTCGCGCGTGGTAATCCGCGCGATCGCGTTATTCGCGATGCCGCGACGGGGCGGGACCGCGTAATCGAGGAGCGTGCACGCGCGCGTGTACCGGCGTTACTTTGAGGTTAAGTGACACGCACCTGCGATCGATTCGCCCTGTGGACTGTGGAGAGAGACCCTGAGCGACCTGAGGGGAGCATCAGGAACACTCGGAGGAACTGATGGTCCACGGGGATATGAGGGATTCGACCTCGTCCTCGCGAGTCACACTTATCCTCCTCGTCGTCAAGGATCAATTTTCTTCCGGTTGACGATAAACGTTTCACATACCGTTTTTTACGACATATCGTTTTACAGCAAATTGTCCATCGTTCTCTCTTTCTAACCTGTTGAGAGAAAAATATTTGTGGTATTTGTGTGACTATATACTTGGGTCTGTACTCGCGTAGCTTGCACTTTTTACATTCAGAATCTTCGATTTCTTTCTCTTTAACACGCGAATATATATTGATTTCGTTTTAAGTGCAAACACTATTGCCTTTTAGGGATTTCAAGCAATGCGAACAAACCTTTTACAATAGTATGATAAAATTAATTGGTTAGGTGCTCCATATTTTTATAGCATGATTCATACTTCATACTATTCGTTTTCACGGGTGCCAACTATTTTTTTTTTTTGTATCTTATATAATAATTATTTTGTACGTAATTATTATTATTAATATTGTATTATTATTAACAATTATAGTCAAATAGCAATGCGAACAAATCTCTTAGAATTGCATAGTAAAATAATTATAATTAAATGCTTCATTTTTGTAACATAATTTATACTATTCACAGTCATTGTTGGATGCCGACTATATTGTATATATTTTTTTGTATATATAGAATTATAAATATTATTATTATCAACATTAACGATGGTATGAAAACGGAGCTCTAATCATATATTTAATCAATTACTTTATTATGCTTGTATTATATATTTGTAATCATAAATAGCAACGTAAGCAAGCCTTATATAATTATATAAAAAAATAATTTAGTTAAGTGCTCGATTTTTATGGCATGATTTATACTATTCGTAGTCATTTTTAGTAATTATTTTAGCCAATTATATGTATACTTTTTGTTTATATAGAATTATAAATATAGTTATTATTACTAACATTGTAGCAATAATAATTATAAAAACAGAACTTTAATTATTTTATTATGCAATTATAGTCACAGATATCCAATACTTTTCTCTCAGTGTTGTAACTCAAATTCTTTCTAACCCAATTTTTTTCTTATTTGTCGAGAATTTCCAAATATGAAATTCAACTTGTTTGTGTATCCTATGCGATATCTGTCATCCTTGAACATAAAAGAAATTAACGGTGGAGAAATTTGCACCTCATCTCTTTTCACTCGTTAACGATGCATTCGAGTATCCTCGATCATTATCATTGATTTTTTTATATCAGCAGAATTTATTAAGCTTTGTATCTCGATAAGCTGTCACAAAGGAATTTAGAAATTTATACATATATGTATGTTTGTACGCGTATTGATATTATAAAGTTGAATAATACGCGAGGAAATTCATAAATATTTAATAATATATATTTTTTTATACGTGGATATAGAGTAAAACCGCTGGTTGTGGATCATTCTTTAAAAAAATTCATTTTTTTTTTATTCAGAACAATATCAAACAATTAATAAAATAGTTTAATAGTTTGATCGTAAATATTTACATTATGGATGATTTTATTTTATTTTATTACTGTTTTATGTGTTTTAATTTGAATTAAATAAAGTCATTATAATTATCCATAATTAGACTCATGTGACTAATTGCGAATCAATTCACCAAATGCTTTATGCGTTTTTTTTATTGCTTTACTACATCCCATAAAAATAATAAAAATGATTTGCGCATGCATATCGTAATATACAGGATGTTTCATTTTAAGTGATATGACTTGCCTTTTATAACTTAACAAGTACTTAACGAAAAATAACTTTATTATAGTGTTTTGGACAGCTCTCGAGATAAGCTACAAGAATATGTAATAAAAAAAAAGGATTTCTATTTAAAAAAACATTAATGATCTTGACCTGATTTTGATAAGGTCACTCAAGATCAAATCTACATTTCCATTATGTGTTCCCCTTCAAGCCATGCAACTTTCATTCGAAAAATTTCTCAATAAAATCATCAATTCGCGAGATAATCAACCATATCACTTAAAATGAAACATCCTGTATATAATGGAATTATAATTGATGATCTACCATCTACTTTAGGGTTTAATTGTAGATCATGATGCAATTTTACATTTAAGTTTATTTACAATTAAATTATTAACAATTAAAAATCAATTATAATTACAATAAAAATTAATGAAAATTAAATGTTTAGTTACAAAAACAGTTAAATTATATATATGATAACACTTTTTACATATAAACATGTATACTATTCTATTTTGATACACTTAAAACAAATAAATCTTTTCGGGATAGCATTACCTGTAAGATTTGATAAGTTTTTAAACATTTTTATAATAAATTTATGCAATAAAAGTATTGTTATAACTTATAACATATTGATTAAACAAACACCCGCGGACACATTTAATCTCAACTGAGTATAATGTTGATTTTTTTCCATGGAATCTAATGCTATTTACTACTTACTATAAAAGCCATAACGTAATTCTTATGATATTAGAATGAATTTTGAAAGATACATGCGTTAACCTCGCACATTTAATTATTAGTTAACGATATCAATAAAATGTGTAGCGCTTTCTAATAAATTAAAATTAATTGACACTTGAAAGAGACGAAACAAATGCTAAAGAATCTTATCATATGTATATCATTTAATGGAAAATACTACGATTATTTAAATATAAAATGATCCAGAACTAGTGCCTGATCCATATCTGATTTTACTCTATATTTTATTTTTATATTTTAAAAAGATAACTTAAAAATAAAATACTACTACCCGAAACGATGCTGGAATTGATATTTTATGTCGATAAATAATACAGGCGCAATCTTTCCAATATATTTCGAATTCTGTTTCCCGGATAGTAAAAAAATAAAGGCAGACAGTGAGAATTTTTAGAGTTTGCTCGATAAATCTTTAACGATATTATTCAGATAAAATCTTTTGATAAAAATATTAGATTTTTTTATGTCAGTACAATTTATTAATTCTTGCGTCTCTATTTCGTACTTCTGTAAAGCTAGTTCCGCTTTTTCAAAATTCGGAAAAAATAAGCAGAGTTCTGATTGCCTCTCGAAGACTTCTAAGAGTTCTCTATCGGTCGAAAGAATCCCATTTAGAATCCGATTTAGAAAGAATCCCGTTGATTAAAAAATAATAAAGCAATGAAAACATCATTTGAAATATCGGGGGGCTAACTTCACGAATCCGAAACTTTAAAGGGTTATAATTTCATCATTTATTTTAGTATTTCAATTCATGTAGGCTAATAGAAAACTCTTTGAGGAGAGACTATCAGAACTTGTATCAGAACGCCCGATTTTCAAAAAAAATTTTCGACCTGTGCAGATTTCGAAAAATTCGAAAGACTTTTGTCATTAGGAAGGCATCATTTCTTTCCTATAACATAAAAAATTGATCCGAAAACCCAGAACAAATAAGTCAGCATGCAGTAGTCAGTACGCAGAACAAATGAGTCAGCATGCGATAGTCAGTACGCAGAATTTAATCTCAAACTTCTCATTTCTTTATTCCATAAATCCAAAAAACATTGCACGTTTCGACTCATTTTGAAATCTTCCTTACTAATATATCAATACAATAAATACTGCTTTTTCCTTGAATGTCTGAACGAAGTTACCATCAAATTTACAGATTTGATATTGTAATATCTGTTAAAACATTAAACTAAAAAATCTTTGGCCACATTATTTTTAAACAAAATTCAAGTGAAAGACAAATGACTTATCTCAAAGAAGCCGTCTTGAAACATTGAATCAAATGATTAAGAATATAAAGTAACAGTAAAACGTTAATTTCTAAATAAGTTCTTATGAATTACATGTTAACAATAGATGTTAACAATAGATAGTTAGAAACATAACTATTGCAATTTAAATAATAAATAAAACGTATCGGTCAACTAAGTATTAAAAGAGGGGGCAAAGCAAAAACAGTAATTTCTTTCTTATCCCAACAGTAGCGTTTATAGTTAAAACACAATTAGTACCTCGCTTATGCGCTTTTTTGTATGTTTATTGTTGTTCTTGAAACCAATACACATAGTCCATTCCTGTATTATGAACAGTTCGGATACAGTTAATGTAGTTATTAAAAGTGCAAAGATATTAATCTTTGCACTTTTAATATTCAAAACATATTACATTATCTCGAACTATTCATAACACAAGAATTTTTTATGGAATGCTGTGTTTTGCAATTACAAATGTCTATCTGATTCAACTGATTGTTTCGCTTTACCCAAAACAGTTGCATCAAATAGAATAAGTGAAACGACAAATGCTATTAATTTGTTAGCCTCTTTATTTATGCTATGTGTTGACATCTTTTTATTTATATCTAGTAACTCAGCAGCAATTTTTCTCGTGCAGCGCAAATTTTAATTGTTTTTTTTTTTCTTATTTCCGCAGAAAAACCAGATAATGTTGTAATTAAAAATCACATTGTTCTCCTTTGCAGACTTGAGTTAAATTTCTTCATATCAGAAGTGTTAATGTTATCTGAGATTATTGTACTATATGAAAAATCGAAGTAGAGTTTGCGATATACATATACAGATATCATATTTATATTCTTATTGATATTTAATGTTGGTATTTTTAAAATTCTAAGACATAAAAATTCGTACTATACTCTTTAATATAATACAATAATAAAGCTAACAGGACCAAATCAGCAGAATTAAATCGAAATTTTTAGTACTCATTTTGTACTAAATTGTATCATTAATGGTAATTTCGTATCGTATGATACCAT